CTCGAAGCGCGGCGGCTCCGGCCAGGGCTGCGCGAACGGCCCCGCGGGCCTGACGGCGCCCGGGAGCGGGATCGTGGCATCAGGGCGGGGCTGCAGGCAGCCCCTCTCCCGCGCCCAGCGGATTAAGATTCACCGGGGCCCTGCGCAAACAAAATTGGAGCCTCCCACCTGGTGAAGGCAGGTGCTGTCTGCGCCCCCAGGGGGCTGCGGCTGGGCCCACCCGCGCGGTTGCCTGCGAGGGTGGGGGTGAGCTAGGGGGTGTGAGTGCTGATCCGGTGAAGGTGGCCCTGGCACTGGGCAAGACCATCTGCACAGCCAGGGCTGCGGTCTCCCAGGGGCTAGTTTGGGGAAGGGCAGAGCTCTGTGCCGCCCCTCTGCCCACCTGCCCCTCTGCCAGCCCCAGCAGGGCAGGACTGTCCCATCCTGTCCTGTCTCAGCTGCGCTGGTGCTGGCAACTGCTCACAGATTGAGGGGAGCAGAAGTGGGGCTGCCCATGGGGCCTCCTCGCAGCAGCCGGCCCCAGGAAGCTGCCACTGCCTTCAAGGAGCTCCTCTGGCCCTGGCCCTGACTCAGCCGGAGGTGAGCAGGCCCATGCTGTCAGCCCTGGATGCCTGTGGCCAGATGCCTGTCTGAGCCGTGCTTCCCCCAGGGTCCCCCAGGGTCTCAGGTTGGCAGGGGCCTGCAGGCCTGGGTCCTGTCGGCCTGTGCATTAATCCACCCCTGCCTGTGCTCTGGATGAACCCGGCTCCTGGGGGCTCTGGGGTTTCTCTTGGTTTCTGTGAGAGACCCTCTGATTTCCATGGGAATGCACTGCTTTTCTCAGTGGGTAGAGTTGGGGGAGGCAGGAATTTCTGGTATTAGCAAAACCTGTTTTTTGAAGGTTTAGGTAGGGAGGGTAGTGTAGCAGGTGGATGGCTTCAGTCCAGGCAACACTGGCACATGCTGCCCTTAGCTGCAGTTCTCAGTGATTAATCCTTTCTGCTGGCGAAGGTGTGGATGTGGTCTGGTAAATGGTGCTCGTCCGTCCACTAATGGCAACTGTTGTCCGGATGGAAGGAGCAGCATTACTTGGAAGGGTCCAGTGTTGTTGGCGCGATTCCTGCGAGTGGGTGGAAATCAGGGGAGCATGGGAGTGTTCTCATTGTTTTTTCTTTGTAAATCGAGCAAGACTTGGTGGTTTACACTTGGCTGTCTTTCATTTATCAGGCATCTACCCCAAAAGGTTCATGAGTGAAGGCCTGTTATGATTAGGGACCTGCTTGAATCACGGTTTTGTGATTTTTTTTTTTTTTGCAGAAACTGGAGAAAACAGCACTCTCTGTAGTTGCTGCAAAATATGGCTTTGGCTGCAATTGCCCAGGAAATCAACCATAAAAAATCACTTACTGGAGTAAAATGTTGGCTCTCCAGTGGGAGCCAGTGGTCCTTGCTGCTGCAGCATGGCCTTGCAGCATGCCCAAGAGAGGGTGATGCTAGCTGGACAGCAGATGGCAGCTGCACCCTTGTGCCTCTCTGCCAATCAAGTGATGAGGGGCGGGGTTGCATGAAGGGCAGCCAACAGTCAAGATGGTGGCCATTCCTTGTCCCTCCTTCCTCTCTGCCAATCAGCACTGAGGGGTGGGGCCTCTTTGCCAGTCAGTGCCAAGGGGTGGGGCTTCCATTAAATGACTGCAAAATTGGCTTTTTAGGTTGCAACTAAGGGGCGAAAACTGATTTTTCTCACTGCAAGTTAGGTCCCTAGTTATAATATCTTTGAAAATGGGGGCCAAAGACCTTCAAAATATTAAAATGAGAAAGAGGGAAAACCAGACGTGCTAGTCCAGTACACAACTACATTAAATGTAAAAATAAAACCAAAGCAAAACCTCTTACCTGAAAAGGTTTATTTTGAACTAGGGAAGGGGAAGAGAGTGAACATTAAAATGACCAGGAAGATAGAAATGGGCAAGGATATGTCAAAGAAGTCAGGTTTATGGCATTTGAAATGAACAGGATCTACAGCATGCCACTGAGGAAATATGAAAGATGTCAAGATGCTGCTAAGTGGGAGCTCCATAGCTTAAGCCTCTGTATTGAGCAATGCCTGCAGCAGTAGAAAGTTTTGCTGATGTAATTTGTATTGGCAGGAAAGGAAGTGATTAATTTTTTAAAACCATACTTCCAAAATGGCCAAAGCTAGTAATGATTTTGATATCACTCTTGTCCATGAAATCACCCTCTAAAATATATAGTTATAACAGCCTGTAGCTTTTAAGATTATAGAAAGTATAGTATTACCATGATGATAGTTTTTTATTTCATTGCATACTTAGAAAAGTGTGAGGTAAGTTTGATAGTAACCTGGCAATCATTTTGAAGTAATACCCTCCAGAGTAGAGTTGCTTTTGCTAAGGAATATAGTTGTGGGAGTTAAAGGCAGGTGTAAAATAGTTTTGACGTTTGGTATACATATTATTAAATTATCTTTTAGAAACAATTTTTGCTTATTAAAAATGTATCTGAAAAAATCAGTTATTTTGTGGAAGTTTTACTGTGAGCACAGGTTCAAGCTCAAATACACAACTTCTTTAGTACTGTTGTGTTATGCCTACAGGGAAATGACTGATTTAGGACCTATTCAGCTACTGACAAGCCTGAACAGACCAGCATAAGGCTGGAATAAATAGTGGAAATTGGATGTCCATAACACCTAAAGAAGTAGCAAGACAAAAAACCCAAGAAAAATACTTTTTTGAATGGGGCAATGTGTATTAAAAGGCTACAAGACTGTCATAAAAGTATATATGTGGTGAGAGAATGTCATAGCTCTTCTGACTTTGATGAGAACAGTGCAGTTAACATGTTCTGAAAATGAGCAGTTATTAGGGTGAAGCTTCGGTCACTAATTCAGTTCGGCAGAGATTTTGCTTGATTTGGTGGCCGAATCTCCAAATCCGAATTGAATTAGGAGACCCTTTACTCTTTCTGAATCAAATTGGAACCCTTAGCACTCTTAAGTGCTAATTACTAGCATAAGGAAAATTAAATCCTTCATTGTACAATTTCTCCTCCATACCCCCCAGAGATGTCTTGCATACCCCTAGCAGTATGTGTACCACAGTTTGGGAAACCCTGGTGTAGAGAAAAGAAAGAACTGCTATCTGATTTTAAGCTGGATGTGTGTCTTGGATTCAGACTGCTTTTGGCTGTGCTATATTAATAAGATGTATCTTTATTATAAGCACATGTTTTGGTATCAGAGGAGGCACTGGTCACTAGTATGTAGCTCATTTTTCTTTTGATAGCTGCACTAGTAAGGGCTACAGGATAAATCTTTATTCTGTTTTTTAAGCCCAGGTAAATTACCTTGTTGGCACTGATTGATACAGAGATAAATTGAAACAATAATACAGCTCAAAACCGTGTAATTGTGTATACAATGCATGGGAGAAGGCAAGGCGATGACAGCTTACTTTATTTGTATTAATATTACCCATACTTAACAGATGTGTATGTGTTTTGGAGGTTATGTTGTTTTTTTAGTGATACTGGAGTTAAACTATTCGTTTGCATAAATGCAGGTTAGGGTGAAACAGCTTTGCTGTGAACAAGTATTTAGTTGGTTAATTTTTTGTTTTAGTAATTGAAATATGCTGATTTTTCTTCCTTGTCTAGCTGTAAAAGATCCCACAGCTGTAGAAAGAGCAAATTTGCTGAACATGGCTAAGTTGAGTATCAAAGGACTGATTGAATCAGCTTTGAGCTTTGGTCGGACTCTGGATTCTGACTATCCGCCTTTGCAACAGTTCTTTGTTGTCATGGAGCATTGCCTAAAACATGGTCTTAAAGGTGCAGTAATAATTTTATTGTGTTTTTTTTTTTGTACCAAAGCATTTTATATTTTTCTTTCTAAAGTAGGATGAAATAGTGCATTAGCTACCTTGTACAATATTATGAGTATTTAAAGTGTTGTATAATAAATCTGAAGTATCCTAAACTAATATAACAGACATTCTTACATGCATACACATTTCCTTTCTAAGTCATTGTCGGTTACTCAAAAAGGTTTGTGAGGTACCAGGATTGTATACATGTTACTTGCATCTTGATTTAGTCTCTTAAATTGACATTTTGTGTTTCAACGGTTTTATATAGTTGAATATCAGTTTTAAATATGAAAACAAAATTGCCTTACATGATTATTTTCAGAAATTCCAAGCTATTGTTACTAATTTTTCAAGTTCTAATTTAAAAGCTTGCTGGAGAAATATTTCTATTCATACAGTGAAACAATTTCTTACAGTTTCTAACATAGCTATACTGATGTAAACTTTTTGAGAGTCAACTAGACTACGTAAATTATTAATTAAATTATATTTTCATTTTACTAGTAAGAAAATCCTTTCTAAGTTATAATAAAACTATTTGGGGCCCTCTGGAACTTGTTGAGAAGTTGTACCCAGAAGCTGAGGAAATAGCAGCTAGCGTCAGAGATTTACCTGGCCTCAAGTAAGTATTATTGGTGAAATACAGCAGTAAAGGTTTAGGGCTTGATCCAGTATCCTCTAGAAAAAATAATCATTTTGATATGATAATATTTTTTTGGAATTCTCAAATTGACTTAATTATCATCCCCTTTCTTTAATAGTAAGAGGATTATAACATACCTCCCCATGGCATCGTTTGTGTGGCATTACTAATCTACATTGCAGTACACTGTGCAGTCACTGGATGTGATGTCTGCCAGTGGTGAAATTTAGTTTGCTTCCTATGTTGGGAGATGAACCAGTTGATGCCAGTCTTTTATTTTTATCTTTTTCATTTTGTTCAGTCAGGGACACATTCTACTAACATGAAGATATCTTGGCACAAAGGTTAAAGTTAAAGCTGTAGATATCTTAAAATATTTAGTTTCTTCAGCCCACGAACTGGACTCTGTGGATAACCGCTGCCAATTTATACAACTTTTTCTTGCGAACCCTTCAGAGACTAAACATTACAAGAGATTATCTGAATTCTTTCTTAATAAAATGTTTTTAAAACTTCTGTTATAGAGATCTTTAAGAATGGTTTATAGCCTTAAGAACTGTTGTTCTTGTTTTGCTATTTATTTGTTAATAAGGCTGAAGATTACTTTTTGCCATATTGTTGCTTTACTTTCTACATTTTGTTTTGCTTGGAGATTCGATGAATGAAAACAGCAGCCATTTGCACTTCCTGGTTCTCATGCAATAGCCAGGGTTTTGGGGCTGTAAAAATGGCATCAGGCCACGCTGTTTAGAGCAGGGTTGTCAAAGATACAGCCTGTGAGCCCCATCATCTAGCCCTGTGTGCTACCCCTGGGTCTGGAACTGACCCACACACTGCACCTGGCTCACACCAGACTGACCTGGGTCACACTGCACCCAGCATATGCCAGACTGGCCCCACACATGGGGCCTGGGATGCATGCTTATGTGGTGCCCCACTCAACTGCTTTGAGACATGCACTGCATGCAGTGTTTGGCTGGTCTGGGACGCACACTGTATGTGTCTGCCCCAGCTAGTCTGGGACGCATGCTGCATGTGATGCCTTTGGGGGCTGCTTCAGGGTGGCCATAGTGTGCAGTATGGGTCTCAGATTGGCTAGAGTGGATGCTGCATGTTGCACATCACAAACTGGCCCTGTAAGGGTACTGTGTGCAGCACAGTCCTTGATCAGCTAGAGCTAGTGCCATGTGCACTAGATCCAGCATGTTAGTGGCAAGGCACGGCTGCTCCTGGTTTAGAGTTTTGGAATGATAGAAGTATCCAAACTGAGATGGATTGCTGGGCCAAGAATACGTAAAACAATTGCAGTGCCTCCTGAATGTGTTAACCACGCGTCTCTTTAGCTGGTCATTTTCATAGCCTCAGACTCGCATTGATTTCAACCTGCTTTGATGCTATTGCATATTTCACTATGTCTTTAGGCAATTAAATTGCTTTCAAAATCTAACCCAAGGTGACCAGAAACAAACTAAATTTGCTAGCTTCAGTTGATATTGCTTCTGTTTAATAAATTAGTGTTAAATGCAGAACATATTTGATAAACTTGTAACATTTTTTATGTATCAGGTACATCTGAGATAATTTAAACTCATTTAAAGAGTTGTTTTCCTACATATTAACTGAATTCCATTTTTCATGCATATACAGCCCAACTGAAATCCTAACTAAAATGGTTGTCTAGTAAATAGGAAATGGTGAATTATACATTTTTAACATAATAACAAATATAAAAACTAGGAACCTGAATAAATGTTTGTTGATTTATATAATTATTTAAATAAATATGTGTAGATATAAAAAAATTCTTATTAACAAAAATAAATAACAAATGCAGTGTAAAGATTATATTTGTGGGGTTTTTTTTAAATTAACATGCTTTAACTGTTAGAACTAACGAGAATTTAATTATTTTCCTAGGAAAAAAGTTCAAAGTACACGTGCAAATAAGATTAAAATTAGTGATTTAAATTAAAGTGTGGTTCTTGCTCATTTAAATCACAGTTAGTATTGGTGATTTAATTCCGTTTAATTTAAGTCCCTTCATCCTAACTCATTAACATTGCCTTGCAAAACTTTATGTAATCAAAAGCCTGAGTTTAAGGTTTTAATTTAAAACTGACAGACAGACTCAAAACACTGTGTCCTGGTTAGATATACTTGTGAAATATTTATCTTAGCTGCTGTAATGACCTGCTTCAAAACCCATTGCAGACTGTGGAAATCTTTCTATGGGTTTCAGTAGAATATGGATCAATACCTTAAGAGCACGTTTTAGTCAGTTGTATCTTGACTGATTACTGAAATTCATTCAATTAAATATCTTAAAATATTCTTGTACGTTTCAGTTTTTGTATCAACAAGCTGATGACGGTCATTAGTTAAAAATTAGCTCGTGTATAAACTGTTCTTCTTTTCAGAACACCATTGGGCCGTGCCAGGGCATGGTTACGATTGGCTCTAATGCAAAAAAAAATGGCTGATTATCTACGCTGTCTGATCATTCAAAGAGATCTCCTCAGGTCAGTTATTGTGAAGACTTTATTTAATTGTATCTTTTAAGTTTTTAATAAAATGCATGTAGGAAATCAAGGCTATTGCTATATCTGATACTTTATATTATTATAAAGTTTAATTACATCCTTTTACTATAACTTCTTGTTTGTTATAGTGTAGTTGAAGTATGTAAGAGCTTCTAAACCCCATGTAACATCTTGGGCAATATAGTTTTAAGTATTAGGACATCTATTGTTTGTCTTTGTTATTTGTAAATGTACTTAGTGCTGTATACCAAAATCATATCATAGATGTTTTTCTAGACGTACATTAAGAAAGTTTCCATGTTTACTGGAATCTAAGATGACTTTGAATTTAAGATGATCCCCCCCATAGATTATATTATTATATGTATAATTAGATTTGTTATAGTATTCCAGGTATAGAATCTAATTTATCATTAGGTTGTCCTGAATTCGTCCCCAACCCACTACTACAGCAGAGAAAGTAGTGGCTGGGGGGAGTCAGGTGACGGGGCAGAGTCAGGCAGCCCCCTTGCCTTGTTCTCCCCCCTACCCCCTGGTTTTTTCCCCTGTAGCTTTCCTGCCCCCTGCCACTTACCCTCTTCCCTCCCCCAGCATCTGATAAAGTGAGCTCAGACTATACATCTCTGATTTAGTTGGCTTATAAGGCCTCTGCCCTGCCTTCTGCCATCAGTGAGTAAGTCAGAGTGTGATATAAATCTTTAAGAACATCAGAGAGAGGCTAAAATTAGAGTATGAAAGTCAGATATACATTCAGTTTAATATCGTTTAGCTAAATTTCACCGAGTTAACAAGTTGCTTGAAATAAACAGTTATTTTAATATAGTGCACTTTCCTGTTTTAACAGTGAATTTTATGAGTACCATGCACTAATGATGGAGGAAGAAGGAGCTGTTATTGTTGGACTCTTGGTTGGTTTAAATGTGATAGATGCTAATCTGTGTGTAAAAGGAGAAGACTTGGATTCACAAGTAAGTGACTACAAATAAAGAGATAAGTATGCTGACCAGATTTTGTTTTGCTTTTTTCTGTTTCAGCTTGAATGTTTGTTTGTTTGTTTGTTTTTAGAGAGATGTAAATGTTTAGATGTTTTATTAATTATAGAGATTATTTACAGTCTCTATCTGAAGTCATTGACAATGTTTGCGCTGAGTTTCAGAGAAGTTAAAACACACTCCTAGGTTATGAATGGTGCTTGGGTTGAAAGCCCTGAAAAAAATGTTCAAAATTTAATTTCTTAGTTCGACAGCAAGACTTTTGGGCTCTATCAGCTGGACTGAGAAGTGGATCTAGGGAGACAGATCCAGAATGGAAAGATAGTCAACA